TTAGCAGCATTTTGCTTTCATCAGCCCTCAAGTGACATTGATTTCACTAGTCCTCTTCATCCGAGATTTGCCTGAAAATAAAAATGTGTGCGATTCCTTGCGATCTAGCGCCAATTTACATCAAAATGAACCAACGAATTTTGGAAAACGGATTCCAGCTCTTGGAATTAGGCTTCTCTGTCAGTCACCAGTCTGCTAGCACAGCAGCATAAGAGGTACGCCACTACTGAAGCAATAAATAGGAGGACAGAGGGGTTGTTGAGCTAAAACTGTATAAGCATTTTTAAAGAGCGGACGCCCAGTATTCAACCAGTCGTTGGCCGACTGAAGAGTTGGAGAAAAATGCGATGAAAGCAGATGCTGCAGCACACAAACTTACACTTCAACTCATCGACGTGTCCTGCGATCTCAAAGCTGCACGATCACTTGTGAAAACCGCCGAAATGCGCTCAAAATTGCTGGCACACAAGCTGGAGTCGATAGCGGATCATCAAAAACAGCTGGAATCAAGTTTTCTCCTCTAATCGAAACATATTCGTCCATGTCCATCCCTTCATGAATTTTTGTCGGCGCCTTGCTCGTTTCCGGTCGGATTATGTGTGATTTTTTATTAATATTTGTAAAAGGTGCCACTTTCGAAGCATCACTCTGTGTATTATCTTTAAGTGCTCGTGTATCCCACAGTTTCTTTCCGCTGTTGTTCTAGAGACTTACGATATCAAATTGAGGTTCCTAGGTCCCAGCCCCTATACAACTTTTTATGGATTTTGCATAAATCGAAAAAGCTGAACCCTGACACTCCATGTATATATATATATACACTCTGTAGAACGCTTCGCATATACACTCTATAGAATACGAAACAGAAATATGTAAAAAATATAAAACAAATAGCTGCGCGCACTAATATAGCTGGTGCGATTATGCGTTCTATGCGGACCTGTCCATCTTCCGCTTATGCAGCTCTATCCAGGGAACCTTGTCAAAAGTGCCCGCTGCATTACTGTTTGATACTTACAGAAATTTTTATGGTCCCTGAGTTACTAATTTTGGCGCCAAAAGTCTCGATTGTCCATGCTTGAGATTTAGACGCACACAGGGTCTGGATTTACGCGCAAGCTGAAACATTCTTAAATTTCATTCTCCCAGCTTTGTCTTTCTGTCAGCTTGCTTTTTGCAGTTTTTTTGCAGCTCTGTCTTTCACTGTCCCAGAGTTAATTTTGTCGCCAAAAATTCCACATATTTCTACGTAAACTCTAGGCATGCTGAGAGCGGGGAGGAGGAGGGGGAG